ACTCTGATGCTTAACTAAGATCTCTCTTTGATGACACAGAATTTTCAGACTGGATGCTTGGGGCGTTTGGTTCAAATCTGACTTCCCCTCTACCGCCCACATAATTCTGGTGCTGGGATGTGTGGGAGGTGTTTTTGTCTTAGCAGAACATATGCTGTTGCCCGGCTTAGCACAGAGGACAGTGGATATATTCCTGGAGGTCATACAAAAAAGAAAGAAAGAAAGAAAGAAAGAAAGAAAGAAAGAAAGAAAGAAAGAAAGAAAAAAAACCTGTCATTTCACAGAAGTGTAAATCACATTCATAGATCTCCATGTGTAGACTTCCCTGGTTAAATCTTTTCTGGGATCCCTCAGATGCTTGCAGTCACCTCAACACTGGTAGACTCTAGGAGGCTAAGGAATAGTGAGTTGAAAAGAAACAATCATCTTACCCATCTGTAGTTTAAAGATCTCATTTTACAGCTAAGTTAACCATTGGAAATGATCCCCCACAGGCTCCTGCTATGAAAGATTTCCCCAGTAGGTGGTGCTACGTTGAGATGTTATGGAACTTAGGTGGGGTCACACTGGTGAGACTGTGCCCCCCCACCCCAGGTTCAGGTTGGTGTTCTCTGCAGTGATATAACCAGTCTATGGCAGGAACTGTTCTGTATCTTCTGAGGTATGACTGACTGGGGCTTCTGAAACTTGGAGACCAAAACAAGTATACCCTCCTTCTGTTTTTCCTTTCCTTATTCCATTTTCTGGTCAGTGTTTGTGGTGTGCACGTGTGTGTGTATTCATGTTTGCATGTGTGAGACACACATGTGTGGGTGCATGTGAAGGCCTGAGGTTGATGTAGAGAATCAATGTTGGTCACTTTCCCTGAGTGAGATGGCTCGTCTCACTAGCCTGCTTGTCCTGGGGATCCTCCATCTCTGCCTCAGAAGGCTGGACCTCAGGCAGGCCACCACACTCATTCCGAATTTACAAGGATTCTGAGAATCTAAGAGCATATGACCTTCCTCCCTTCTCAGAGGGTCATGCATCCTTAGAGAAGACCCTGCCCATTGGTCCACCCATTCCATTCCATTGGTCATTAGATCGAATGGTCAAACACCAAGGTTTGCCCCTCGCTTGAACCACTGTGCCATCTCCCCAGGCCCCTTAGGTTGTCCTGATGGATATTTTGTTTGCTGTGTGGCAAAAGTGACCAACGCATTTGTGAACACATGTCACCAGGCGAACACACAGGCACGGCCCACACGGGGTCAGCATGGGCCTGTGGTAGTGAGCCGCCAGGAACCTCCCATTCAACACACTCCCTGTAGCCGGGCCTTGGCCTCCACCATCTTCCCAACCCTACCCCAGCTTTCTCGGATCCTGGTCCTCACCTCCTGTGTCTTGTTGTCTTCCATTTGTTCCTAGGATTTAAAAATCCCATTGCAAGTGTTGCTGTCCCGGCTTGGAAGGACACCCACAGGTTCCTGTTTGGATGCTGGATGTCCACTTGGTGGCACTATTTTGTGAGGTGACCAACTTGACCCCATAACAACTGAAGTCTATTCCTGTCATGCCTCTGCTCAGACGCCTTGAGCTTTCCACCTTACTCCAGATACAAAGCCGCCCCAGATGAAGGGCTTTCACTGCCTTTCTGACCTCATCAGGGTCGGGCGCCCACCTCTCCCTAGGCCACTCCAGACCCAGGAGTCTCTGCAGTTTCTTGAATGGCCAGGCCCTTCCACAAGGCCTTTGCTTATTTATGTGTTGGTGCAGCCTGGACCATGTCCTCCAGGTGTCCCCACAGCCCTGCACAGGAGCCTTGCTTGGTCTCTCTGTTTTGAAACACACGCGTCTTCTTCCAGTGCACCCTCTCTGCCACCCTTCCTTTTCTGCATCATCATGGGGCACAGACCACGTCTAAAGTACTCTATGGTGTTCATGTCTATCTATCTGGACGGTGTGGTCCCCGAGGTGTGGCTGACACACAGTGACCAGTCTCTGGTGAAGGCGCAGGTCTCTCCAGCCCTAGGGTTCTCTCCTGGAGTCTCCCCAGAAGTCCACAGGATTGTCTTCTGAGAAAAGTCATGACAGGACACTCAGCAGAAGGCACGGCTCCCAAAGAGAACAGTAGGAGGGAACGGCTCACGGGACTTTCAGGCAGCTAAGCCGCTTGGTATTGGACAGAACCATCTTCTTGTGAAGTGAATCACCAAAACACCCAGCTCTGACCTCTGGCACTCCCTCCCAGTTCAGGTCTACAGCACCCCCTCCCAGCTCTGAGCTATGGCACCCTCACCCCCAGGGACGGAATCAGGGTCAAAGAGCATAACTAGGATGTGGACACATCTTACCATGTGTCTTCCCAGATCAAGGGAAAAATACATTTTTTAAAACAGCTATTTGAAACATTTATTTGCTTTTCCTCCCTCTCTCCTATTTATTTATTTATTTGTGTTTTTACGTTTTTTGAGACACGGTCTGTCTATTTTGTAGCCCTGGCTGTCCTGGAACTCACCATGTAGACCAGGCTGGTCTCAAACTCACAGAGATCCATCTGCTTCTGTCTCCCAAGTGTGAGGAATAAAGGCCTGTGCTACCACACCCAGATATTATTTTTAGGATCTCACTAGGTAGCTCTGACTGGCCTGGAACTTGATACATATTATAGGCCAGGCTGGTATCCATCTTGGTCAGAAAAGGGTTGGCATTCTGGTGCGGCAAATGGGCTGAGCACTATAATAGTATTATAAGAATAATATAAATAGGGGGCTGGAGAGATGGCTCAGAGGTTAAGAACATTGCCTGCTCTTCCAAAGGTCCTGAGTTCAATTCCCAGCAACCACATGGTGGCTCACAACCATCTGTAATGGGGTCTGGTACCCTCTTCTGGCCTGCAGACATACACACAGACAGAATATTGTATACTTAATAAATAAATATTTAAAAAAAGATAGACCAATTATATTTAAAAAAAAGAATAATATAAATAGATATAATATGTTAGGTTATAAATGTGGAGTGTGTAAGGAAGCCAGCACCAACATTTTCAAGAAATATAAGAAAGCAAAAGAGATGCTAATTCCAGGAGCTCAGAGACAGAAGACCCAGGTTCCATCCCCAGCACCCACATGGTGGCTCACATCTGTCCATAACTCCATTTCCAGGGTGTCTGACACCCTCTTCTGGCACCAGACATTCATGAAGAGAAAGAAGCCATCCCATGCTAGGCAAGGTGGCACACGTGTTTAGTCCCAGTGCTTAGGCGGCAGAGGCAGCCGCCTCTGTGAGTTCGAGGCCAGCCTGGTCTACAAAGAGAGCTCATATCAGTAGACTCTGTGCATACAAGCCCCAGGTTCTGTGAGGAGCACCCCCAGAGGACTTAGAATGTGGTGTAGCTTAGCAAGAACGGGAAAGGGGCCATGGTTAAATGAAGGGGTGGGGGGGCAATATGTCCAGGAATTTCCCCCATTCTTAAACATGTGAGAATGAAGCTTCTGAAAGTTATGACTATTTGCCCCCAAAATTGCTTATTTTTCGAGTCTCTTGCTGTTGTTTTGAGATCTTGTCTTGGTATATATCGTTAGCTAGCCTAAAGTTTAGCCCAGGCTAGCTTTGAACTCATGGAAACCCTGCCTCAGCCTTCTGAGTTGGTAGACTTGAGCCACCAACACTCAATAGAGTCACTTTACATTTTCAAGAACCAAGGACCTGGGCTGTTGTGAGATGTAACTGTCTCTGTGTGTCTCTCTGTCTCTGTCTACCCCCCCCACACACACACAACGTTGTTGATGGATGGGGGTCAAAGCTGAAATCTTGGCAGAACAGCCAGCATGGAAGCCAGACAGCCAGGTTCAAGCGAGCTCCTCTTATATCCTGACAGAGACCCATGCACACTGGGTTGGGACTCAGAAAGGCCACCTCCCCTACTGTCCAGAAATCAGAAGGCCAAAATGAACACCCTAGGAAGGCCCCTCTTGTCTGGTTCCCACCCACCACCAGCTCGCGGTTAGCTTTCCTTCCCTGGGTGCAGACCACAAACCTGCAACCGCTAGATGTTTTTTGTTTGTTTGTTTATTTTGCTTTTTTTGTTTGTTTTTCTTTGCTGGGCACAATCATCTTGACTTCACAGTTTTAAAACTGGCAGGCAGGTGAAGGGGGGTGCGCTATGCCTCTGTACCTAGTCTGGCATGACCATAGCAACCATGTATCTTAGTCCTTCGCCAGGTGCCTCCTTAATGAAGAAGCAATAGTAGCTGGTCCATGAAACCTTAGTATATTCTGCCTAGATCCCCGAATGAGCGAGGAGAGCCGTCTAGCACGGCACATACTTTCTTGGGACGCCTTTCATTGGTTATGGCTCACGACCTCCTCTTCCCCCTCGCCACCCCCCATCAGAATTCACCTTCCGAGTCACCCCACCCCCTCCCTCCTACTGGACGTGACGAGGCAGCGAGGCTGCGGCAGAGGAAGCCCTAGAGCGCCCGTTACCCGGGTATTGCGGAGGGAGTTAGAGCGGTCCAGGTGCCGCGTCGCCCGGAAGAAAGTTCCCCATTGCCCGTGACCCGTGCTAGGACAGGGAAGCCACTCACTCGTGCTTCTCACCCGAACTCCC